TGTGCCACAGTTGGCATTTTGGTGTGTTCTCTTTGGCCCCTCATCCACTCTCCTGGATCCTGGGATCCAGGACCACCTGCTGTGTCCCCAGCATGCCCCTCCTCAGATCCCCTGGGAAATGTCTGTACACATTTCTGTGGACCTTCTCTGGCTCACAATTAGTGGCCTTATTCAACGTTTCCAAACCCTCCTGAGTACCATAGAAGTTATTAAAATACACACGGTTGGGTCCCACTCCCATAGGTTCTGAACAAGTGGATCTGGGGGAAGCCCAGAAATGTGCATTTTTAAAAGCTTCCCCACCAGCTTCTGAGGAAGCGGGTCCAGAGAGCTGCATAGCAGACAGCTGGCCAGGGCTTCTCTGCTTGGCCAGGCTCTGTCCCTCCCCAAGCAAATCTCGAGTCTGGCCCTCAATTAGACTGGGAAGGCTAGAAAGTCATTTGTTTTACTCTAAGTTTTAGTTTTTTGGACAGTGGAGCTCTCCACATAAATTAGAACCTGTAGGAACCATCAATCTGAGCCAGAGTTTCAAGAGGAGTGCCTTGGAATGCTGAAGAGATTGTTACAAATGCAGATACCTGGGCCCAACACCACTGGTGTTGAATCTCTGCAAGTGGAGCCTGGGAATCTGCATGTTAGTTCTCCAGGTGAGGCTACTGAAGCCAACTCCCTCCACGCCCCTAAAAGATGAGGGAAATTGAGGATCAAAAAGTAAAAGTGACTTGTCCCTAGTCAAATAGAAGCAGAAATGGTTCTAGCATCTCAGTCTCCTAGTCCAGCACTCAATCCCCAGCACTTCCGAACAATGCAGCTTGTCTAAAGGTTCTTCGTCGTCCAATACGCCCCATGTAGCTGCCCTGGGATAGGCCTCTGCCATATCTGGAAAAGCTTCAATTTATAAACCAGTGGAAACGACCTAAGTTACCGTGTGTGCGCATGCGTGTGTGTGTGTTGGGGTGTGTGCGCGTGTTGTGGGGTGTGTGTGTGTGTGTGTGTGTGTGTGTGTGTGTGTCGGGCAGACTTTGGCCATGCATACAAGCATCCCTCTCTCTCCCCTCCCCTGCAGGCTTTGCAAAAAGGTCAAACAGACAGACAAGACCAATGTGTACAAACAGAACCCCACTTTATTAGCAGTTAGTTCGAGATTGTACATTAATAGAGGAAGTTTCCCACTTTTAACACAACCCAAAACGGCTGGTTTGAGAGCCCTCATCAGGTGAGCTGGGTGGCGCCCCCTCTTCAACCCCTCCCCACCCCCCACAAGGGAAGGAAACCTCTGCCTGCTCCCGTAATGTGCCCCCACCCTCTGCAGTCAGCCTCTCCTCTCCCCAGGAAACGACATGAATTTCATGCACCAATTACAAAAGGAGGCCTCTTGCTGATAGTAAAAGCTAGCGCAGTTACAGAAAACCCTCCCCCTCATTCTCCTCCAGGGCCACAGCGAAGAGCGAGAGGGATGAACTTCTTAGGATTAAACACAGCCAGAGTCTCCCCCGGCTCTTGGCATCGACTCCACACGAAATCCCCGGCAGTCTGAGCTGCTAAGAGCACCAGCCCGGAGTCGGCAAACCAGGAGCCTAGCGTTGCCTGGAGGCTTCACCCAGAGCAGAGCCTCTTGCTTCTCTGACATGTGAAAACACCTGCTGTACCCCATCTGCTCATTCGACAGATAATACACAATTACAGCAAACAGAGACCCTGGGAGGAAGAACGTCGAGCAGCTACTACAGGTGCCCAGTTGGGAGGAAATTTCACAGCTCCTGCCTCCAGCCCAGTGCTCTTCTCACACCGCAGCTTGTGGGAAGCAGCTCCCCATCTGGGCCCCTCCCTGTTGCATCCCAGAAGCCTGGCTCTGCTCCAGTGCACACAGACCACAGGTCTCCAGGAAGTGAAAATCCTGGGACCACAAAACAGAAAGAGAAATGCCGTGCGGTGCCCGGCAGCCCATCCCCAGGGTCGAAGGGGGAAGCAAGGCTTTTCAAGCCACAGGTGTCTCATTCCCAGCAGGCCCCGAGGCTGCTTGGCCCAGCCTCCACAGGCAGGCTCCTCCTTCCAGAGAAGCCCTGTCCCTTCCTCCCAGGCCCAGCACGATGCAGCCTTCTCCAGGGAGCCCTTCCACCCCTCCCCTGAGCTCCTGGAGCTCCGACTGACCCCTCTGCTGGTTTGGCACCTGGTACAGGTGACAGTGGAGGTGCATCTTAGGCAGGAACAAAGCTGTCAAGTCAGCACAAAAGGCAAAACCCACATAGCCTAAATTAATCTTGAAAATAGGGGACAGAGGAAGTGGTTACGTGACACTGTGAGGAAACAATCAGACGGATCCAGAATGTGGGACTTCTACACGACAGCAGGTCTGGGGCCTCGAGAATAGTGTCATTCAAAAAGTCAAAGTGGGCACAAGGAAGACTTTTCAGCATTCAAAGAGATTGTAAAAACAGTTACAAAAACAATATGTGCACCTTGATTGGATCCTAATTTCAAAATCAGGTATGAGTTATTTGGGGGACAATTAGGGAAAATTTGAATATAGATTGGATAGCAGATGTTGTTAGGAAATCGTCTTGGCTGTGATATCGAGCCAATATGTAGGGGAATACCCAAACTCTTATCAGATGCAGGTGGAAGCATTTAGGGATAAAGTCTCATGATGTTTGCAACTTACTTTTAAACTAGGTCAGAAAAATATACGTATGTAGAGAGAGAGAGAAACAGACACGGCAAATGTTCATGTTAAATCTAGACACTGGACAGCGGGCATTCACAGTAAAATGTTTGGTAAAACATTTTTGTACTTGCTCCTCCCATTAACAAACCGGTGGGGATGGCTCTGTGTTGGGACACTGATCTCTGTGGTCAGTTCAGCAGCTTTCCTTTGCTGGCAACACATGCTGCTTCCTCAGCTGGGCTCAGAAGCACTGGCTGCTCATATAGGGGCTCAGAAAAGGCCCATATTTAAACTGCAGACTCATCTGCCAAACAGCAAGATACCCACACTACAGAAGGTTCTAGAATCCTGAATGACAGAGGCACCTGCAGGTGACGCCTCCCACCTGCGCCCACTGTGGGGCAAAGGCTTTGTGGAGGTGGACCATAGTGCACAATGGCGTCACCTGCACTGTTTAAGTTATGTCTCCCTCCCTTTTTTTTGGCTAAACCCTTACAGAGAATTAGTGGACATTAAAGACTGAAGACACTGCCCCCACTCATCCCAGTTTTCCCTTCTCGTGAGGGGATCTGAGTGCCTGCTACATCTGAGAGCTCCTAGGGCAAATGACCTCCCTCCCTTCCTGCCCTGTGCCTGCAAGCCTCAGCAGTGTCTGGGCCAGTGGGTCCTCAAGAAGGATTCGTTAGGCAAAAATCCAGAGTATCTCCTCTGCTCTCCCAGGTTCTCAAACATGCCTGCTCTTCCCTGAGGCCAGAGGCAGAAAGCAGTGAAGCCGCCTACCCCACGAGGGCCGGCTCGAGGCCAGCCCGAGCTCCCAGGGAGGGTAGATTTCAGAATGTGGGAGCTGTCAGGCCTCACTCACAGATCACTGGGCCCAACCCCCTTGTGGACAGATGGGAAGTGAGGCCCAGGGTTTGCGCTACAGAAGTCGCTGTCCCACTCTGGGAGTCTAGTTTCACGGTGTGGGGAAGTCGTGCTGAGTGTACAAAGAGACATGCCACCCTGTCATCAAACACTGCGCTACTCAATCCTGCTGGGCCGATGGTGCCCAAGAGTCCCAGGTTTAAAGGCCCCAGTAAGAAGCTTGCTGGGAACACTGCACTCTGCACACAATGAAACCACAAGCAGCTGGTCCCGGTGAGTTACCAACTCTGGGCTCCACCCCAGAGGCAAAGTGGAGAAAAGGGAAGCAGTTGAGAAGGAAGACAGCCACAGGCCCCGCAGGCTGGGGAGGACCTGTCGAGGAGTGGGGACAAGACCGAGAGGCAAACGCAGGTCTGGGAATGAGAAGGCTCAAAGGCACCCTGGCTGGGAAGGAGTGGTTTGTCCCCTATCCTGGAATGACCACGGTTGTGACTGAAGGAGGGACAGGAACCTGGCACAGAGTAGGGTCCCAAGGATGGGCTCGGAGGCAGTGTGGCACGAGAAGAGGAGCACTGGACTCAGAATCAGGAGCCTCGAGCGCAGTGCTCAGCCCTGCTCCCTGCCAGCTCTGTGACATCAGTCAAGCAGCCACCTCCCCTTTCTGGACATGTTCCATACCCGTCGAAGGACCCTTCCAGCCCCAAGATGCTAGTCTTCTGAACAAGAGAAGACTCTCCAGAAAGTATTTCCTGGGTCTCAGTTCAAAGTTGAATTGGCAGTTGGAGGGGGCTGGGGAGAGGTGCCCCAGTCTCAGTCACTTCACATTGTTAAAAGAGGGGGGTAGGAGCAGACCCCAACCAGCAAACAGCCCAGAGAGCCCACTGTCTACGGTGGGGGAGTCAGGGGGGCTGGAGGCAGTTCTCTGGGCCCTGGTGGGCATCCCAGCTCCCAGGGCAGCTCCTGACCTAGCACCATGTGAGGGGGACAGGGAAGGGCCACATTTGGTCCCAGCTCTCCTACCCCAGCCCCAGCTGTTTCCTTTGGTCAAGATTCCCCTAGGGTCACCAGGCTTCGTGAAGCCAGATTTCCTGGAGAGAGCTGGTCTTCCCTGAACATCTCACCACCTCTGTTTAGCTGGGGTAGCCCCGGGACAGCTGCAGCACTTGGGAGAGGGAACAGAGACCTCTCTCAGGGACCCTTCACACTGTCTCTTTGAGGGCCTAGACACTCCAAGACATGCCCTCCCCCCATTCCATCCCATTCTCTAGCACTAAGATATGCCATCCTTGGAGACTGGGGATTACTGCCATTTTGTATGACTGAATTAAAAACAAACCCAACCAAAAAATATATAATATATATATATATATATATATATATATATATACACACACACACACACATTATATATATATATATAAAACACAGTGCGACCCCAGCACCCAGGGTATAAACTCTGGCACCAAGAAAAAAAAATTAAAATACTTTAGTTTCTTAGTATTTGGGAGATTAAGGGATCTGGGGGAACCCTTGGCCACAGGTAGCTGGGGCAAAGCAGCAGACAGCAGTCTCTCCAACTCTGTCCACATCTGCCAGGGGCCGAGGCTGGGGGTGGGGCTGGGGACAATGTATGTACACTGAACATGTATACTGGCAGATTCCTGCACCTCCTCCGTCTTTTACCACAGGAAACACCACACAGGTCATATCCCAGGATGAAGAAAGGGGGAGGGTCGAAGCCTGGGTCTCTGGGCCCAAATGGCCTGGCCACACCCCAGGCCCTGAAGCAGGCCTTGAGGACTGGGTGATACTGTAGGAACCAGAGATTCTCTCCCCAGGAAGGGAAGGTGAGATGTGAAGGTATTATTAACCAGAGTGTGGAGGTTCAGAGCTCTCTCGAGGTGGCCACCTCACATCCAGCCTCGTGACTAACTCTGGTACACAGCTGACCCCACTGAAGGGCCTGGCTCGAAACAGTCAGGGAAATGTCCAGTCTCTCTCCCTGGTTTGGCAAAAGGCCCAGCTGGGCTCTTCTCCCTTACAATCTGGAGGACAGGGAAAATATGGCAGCTGATACGGAGGGGCTACCCTGCCGGAGCAGGGAGTGGTGGGCTGAAGGGGAGGACAGGGGTGCTAGAACACAGTGAGGGACAGACAGAAAAGAGAGTCTCATGACTCCCTCCTACCAGAAAGTGGCCTTCCACCAACAGGAAGTGACCTCCCCAGGAGAGGCTGTGAACAGAAAGGACCTCTGGTGGCTAGGGAAGTCCTACAGAGACCCAGCAGTGGATGCTCTGAGGCGCTTGTAGACCTGCCGGGGCTCTTCTCCTGGCCCTGTGTGGCCTCAGCAGAGTATTGCTCATAAGTGCTTGGCCAGCCCAGGCCCAGCTCCCCACTCCGCAGGTCAGTCTGGCTCAGTGTGCGGCGGGACGTCCCCGCCGTCACCAACGTTCAGTCTGGCTGTGGTGGCCGTGGCTACCTGGTGTTCTGGAGGTCCTCCCGCAGCCAGGTGGGCAGTGTCTGGCCCATCTTGTAGAGCAGCTTGGAAAGCTCGATATTGTGGTCCCGGTAATAGTCCTTCAGGAAGGCTCGGGACTGTAACAGGAAGGAAAGCTCAGGTCTTGGTGATGTGCTGACTCGAGAGTGACCCCCTCTTTAACACCACCATCTGTTGGTACCATCCCACACACCTCTTATTCTTCCACACTCTTCTTCTAAATAGTAGCCCCCACTAGAAAACTCCTGGATAGTAGAAGCTCCAAAATATAGCTCACGAGGTCAAAATTCTTGTGATTGGGAGAAAAACAGAGGCAGGTGGGCAAAGGGAAGCTTAACAGGGTCTGCAGTCTGATCTTTTCCCTATGTGCTTTTGCACACGCTGTTCTCTCCTGCAAGAACAGCCTATCCTTCCAACCCACAGGTCCGAATCCTATGGAAGAAACCCATCCTTCTAGCCCAACTCCAGAGAACCCCACCTCTCCTTTGAGCAGCCTTTACCTCTCCCAGCTTCGAGTGACATCCCCTGTTCTGAATCCCCCCAGCACTTCTTTGCACCTGTCTTACTGCACAAAACACCCTCTGCCCTGTGTTCTACATACAGTTGAGTGTGTGACTCATCTCCCTCCTAGACCAGGAATTCACTGAAGGCAGAGAATGTGTCTGGTTCAGCCTCAAGCCCTCACAGCACCTAGCCCTTAGGAGAAGGTAATAAATACATGTCTGACTGAATCAATTCTGACCCACCATGTCCCAGCTCATATTTTCTCCTCTTAAGAATACTGTCGAAGAAATGCCAAGGCCGTTAACATGCTAGGTGTAGCGTAAAGCGGGGAGAAGACCCCCCGATATAGGAACCCCCTTCCACTTATCCAGATGCCACAGGTAGAGTGCACGTCACTTACATCCAAGTCCATCTCTGGGTATTTCCGGCCCTTGCTTTTACCCAGACACTTGGTTTTTCCTCCTTCGAGCAGTTGGCACCAAAATCCTTTCTTTGGATCAAACCTGTGGAGGTGAGGAAAGTCTGTGGACGGGAGCTGGCCCAGCCCAGCCCCTGCCCACCATAAGGCAATGTTCCCAGATCCCAGGAATAGCAGAGCCTGGGAGATCAGGGAATCTAGTTCCCTCCACACACTCATGAACCCACACTGATTATGGGGCTGACATTTGCTATCTTGGCCCAAGCTTTGCCCCTGGGCTACATAAAACACGCCTGCCCTTCCTCCCAGCACAGGGTACCTCACATGCTCTGAACCCTTTCTCTCCAGGCTGAGTAGCCATCATTCCTTCAGCAATCCATAACATGAATACTTTCCCAGCCTTCATTACTCTGGGAAACCTTTTCTGAACATTCTCTAACTCAATAGTGAGTAACATTTTTTTTTTTTTTTAATCCAAGATGCCTTCTCTGCACCTCCCAGCTTCAAGAGACAATAGGGGAGAAAAAAAGTTTACTGGAGGTGCTTTTGCTTTTCAGTAAAGTGCATCTTTATCAGCAATGCAATGTCTGCAGCTGCACTTAAGCATCCTATCATTAGAAAGTTTCATTTTGGGGAGTAAATTTCAGAAATGACAGAGCAAGACTTCTGTACCCAACGTCATGCTGCCTTTCAAGGCATTTTTGGGAGATGAGCTCTGAAACTGTCATGAGGAGGGGCACATTGCCATCAGAACTCAACCCCACACCACAAACCATTAGGAGACTCTTCAGCATGAGGGCATCAGGAAAACGGAATCCACATTTGGCAGGTGAGGGAGACAGGCATTTCTGGATGGGCCCCAGGATAGGAACAGATGATGGTGGTGGCGGTGGTAATGATGACAACCACTACCATTTACTGAGCACTTAGTACTTGCCAAGCACTGAGCTGGGAGCTCCACACGCATGCTTTCATTCAACTCAGTGACCCTCAGAAGGTATCTTTATTCCCAACTTGCAGAGGAGGAAAGTGAAGCTTGAAAGGCTAAGGGACCTGTCCAAGGTCACACAGCTAAGCAACGGATCTGGGACCCTAACCCAGGTATCTCTGACTCCACAGCCCATACCCTTAGCTATTTGTCCCTTTCTGCAACCAGATGAAGGACTGACTTCCCTTCTCCACCTTTAGCTGCCAAGACAGTGAAAAGGGACTGTTCTTGCTGCAAGACTTTCCCAAGAATGGAACCAGGGAGGGTGACTTTATTGCTCCTTCTTGTGGGCCCCCCTCATCCAGCTGAGTGTGTCACTGTCTGTGACACAGCATTAGAAGGCAACTTTTCCCCAGCCCTGAGCTCCTGCAGCACTTACTCATCGGGGGGCATTTTCAGTGCACTTGTACCAGGTTCTGAGTGAGTGGGATTATTAGTTATCAACAGTAATATTTGTAGTTTTCTCTTCCTGAAATTATACTTTAAGTCAAAATCTAATGCTAAGAAAATCTTGTGAGAATTGGGGTTGCTCACTGCTGGATCTAGCTTACCTAGATAAAACACTGAAAATGTTCAGCCCAGACTGAAGAGAACATGCCAGGGTGGGCTGACCAGAGTAGAACAGATTTGTCACCTCCCTTTTTCTTAAGTCGATACCACCATGTGTATGACTTAAGTCATATTAATAGTAGCTTTTCTGCTAAACTGCCGTCAGGGAAGTCTGCATACTTTCTCATACTTGCTGACTCTAATTAACCTGTGTTTCTACTGTAATCACACAAGCCTTTGGCTTTTTGGCCAGGTGCCTGATCAGGAAAACTGCCCTGTTGGAAGGCTGAGGCCACACTCACGCCAAGGTTTTGTGGTAGTCAATGGTGTTGGTCACCCCAAGGAACTTCTGCACCATGTCCATCACTTTAGCAGGTTCTGTTCGCAGCAGTTTGCCATCCAAGACCAGAATCTGGAAAGAAGGAAAGGGAGGAAGGTGACCTGGACCTACTTTCACCCCAACAGCAAACAGGGGCAGCAGCCACAGCAGCAGGAACAGACCTGTTACAAATATGAGACCCTACACTCTCCAGAATCTGCTTCCTCCTCCACCTTTGAATGGCAGGTATCCCAAAGCCTCAGTCCTCTGTGTTCTAACTCTCTGCTCTTTGCCAGCTTCCTCTGACTGATGAGGACCTGTTACAAATATGAGACCCTACACTCTCCAGAATCTGCTTCCTCCTCCACCTTTGAATGGCAGGTATTCCAAAGCCTCAGTCCTCTGTGTTCTAACTCTCTGCTCTTTGCCAGCTTCCTCTGACTGATGATATCTTCTCTCAGAATCTAAGCTATCACCAAAACCTGCCTACCCTCACATCCCTACCACTTCCCTCTCCTGGCCTCTCTCCAAGCTTCCAGCCCATCATCACACTCCTCCTCAAATCAGTCAAGGCTTTTCCTAAAAGGCCTCATGTGATCTGGCCCCCACCCACCCCTCCAACTAGGCTCCCCCTCCATCACCACGCCCTACTCTCCCCCTCCAGGATTTTCTGGGTCCCCTTAGGGCCACAGAACCTGCTGAGATGGGACAAGGGCTTGGAGAATTCTCACGTATCAATCTTGGGATAAAGAAAACTAAAACCTTTCTACAGACCCAAAGGTCTAATTCACCAAGAGAGCATTTCTGGCCTGATGACTGGGGAGAGAGAATTTGAGGATCTCCACTAACTGCAGTGAGCCAGCACTGCAATGCCCTCCCAAGGGGCAGGGACAGGCAGCTACCTGGCTGGCATGAAAGGCGCTGAGCCAGCGCTCGATGTGGGTGGCATACCAGCCAGGGACCAGGCAGCGGTTCTGGAGGGCACGCAGCTTCGAGGACGTGTCGGGGCCGGCAGTGATCACTTCGTGGAAGGTGTACTTCAGGGCCACAGGGTCATCATGGGCCCGCTGGTGCTGCAGGCAAGGGGAGAGGTCCGCATGTCACATGGAGAGCACAGAGGAAGAGGCCTTCAAGGGACAGCAGCTCAGGAGGTGGCCAGAAGATCCTGGGCTGGAGCCTCCATCCAAGTCCTGGCTCTGCCTCTCATTGCTGTTCATCCTCAAGGAAGTCACCAGCCCTGGAGCCCCAGCTTCCCCGTCTTTGCAAGATGGGAGTTGGATGAGATCAGTGTCTACAAATGTTGGTCAATCACACACCATCTCTGCAGTTTCTGCCATATCCACAAACCATTGGTAGGTGCCAATGTCAACATAACTTTCTTTACCTTGACTCACCCTTCTTTTTCACATAAACTTATTTCAAAAGAAAACTCACTCTCACCTCCATAAATGAAATACTAGAATATCAGCTGTCATACAAAAAAGATAACCATTCATAAATATAATAAAAATAAAGCAATCTTCTCAAACACCAGCCAGACACAAATGTCTGCTACAGGCACTGAAACCAAAGCTAGCACTCCCTTTGTTGAAAACAGAGCTTAGCAGTATCAGAAAGGACCTAAGAGCCACCTGTATCAAACCGAGCATTTCTCCTTTATAGAAATTGGAAAGATTGGGAAAGAACTGTAAAGGGGGAAATGCCAGGTCTCAACCACCTACAGTAATGTCATGGGCCACCAGCAGCTGCAGAATCCTCAAAGTCCAGAGCTGGGGCACCTACCCACCTGGTGACACACCTCACCAGCCACCCCCACTCCACTGAGGACCACATGCAGCCCAGGGAAGGGGCCAGCTGGGGCAGCGGTGGAGCACGGCAGCCTCCTGGTCCTGACCTCCCCAAGACACACCACACCCTTCCTCTCCTTCAGCACCTTCCTGGGTCCTCCTGCTGGGCTTCAGTCTCCCTTACTCTCCTTGACCACGGGCAGAAGAAAAAATGGGGTCTTAGGTTTAGAAGACCTGGATTCAAAATGCCACCACATGGAACTTGCTGAGTTTTGGTTTATGCCATCTGTGAGAAGGGGACATACACGCGCGAACCCTCCTCTGCCTTCTAGAACACTGCTGTGATGCTTCAGAGGGGGCAGAAGGAGAGCATTGTCATTACTACAGAACAGAGACTGAGCCAACCTGTGACAGCTTCCTCCAGATCCCACCATGTCCCCCATGAAAGCTGAGAGCCATTTCTCTGCTTGTCACCAGGAAGTGGGGACACAAGCAAAGCTGAAAAGAGATACGCCCTATGAGTGCTTCCAGGTTTGTTTCCCCTAAAGACAAAGCCCACAGGAAACGCGGATATCAGGGCACAAACAAAAGTCCTAGAGAACAAGAGGCCTCCCTACCAAGCTCAGGGTATGACAGGAGGGGGAGAAAGCTCTGTGGGACCAGGGGCAAAAAGGCTCTCCACCTGCCTGCTGTCAGTCCTGCAGAGGACACAGCGGGGCCCAGACATGAAGCAGCCACTGAGGCACTCAAATAAAGAAGTTCAAAAGGGCAGGGACTACCCAAAGTGGCCGCGCCTGCACAGTCCTTCCTGGCCAGGGAAGTGGACACCTCTCAGGTGACCAGGAGCTAAGGCTCAGGCACCACCAACACCAAGAATAGAGCCAGTCCACTGGTTGATGGTCAGGATCTTGGCCTCGGGCAACAGGCTAGCTGCCCACCAGGGTGCCATCTCTGAATCAAAGGACTTGGCTGTGTGGCGTAATCCCAGGAAGAGTGGAAGGCAGGGGAGGGACACGAAAGGCCTGAGAGCTTTCCTGTAAGCCCAGCAGGCTGGTACACAAAAGAAATTAAGTCAGGTGATAGAAATTAAAGAAAGTTCTGGTTCTTACATGCCTCAAGCAGGGACAAGGATTCACACCTTCTCCAGCATGTGTCGTGGTCCAGGTAACCTCCTGAGCTGACCAAGTGCCCATGCCCTCCACTGAGAACAGCAGGTCCTGTGTCTTGTCCTCCTCGGAGTCCCAACTCCCGTCCACCCCATGTCCAGCAAGGAAGGTACAGCCAGCACAAGTCCAGACCATGTTTGCCAACCCTGGCTTCCTCAAGGTTTAATTGGCCTCTACCTCCTACTGGTGTCAGATCAGAGGTAAGGCCCACACGAAGCCAGGAGGGTGGGCCACGGACTGCTGCCAGGCATCAGCATCCATTTCTGCTGGTCTCCTCTGCCAGCCCAGAGCACCACGGAGGGGAACTCTACTCTTAGCCACCACCACATTCCCAGTGCCTTGTCAGGGCTTGCACACAGTAGGAGCTTGCTGAATATGAGTTGAGTGACTGAGTGTCATACAGAGCCCCACACCCCCCATGCAGTGGCCCCACGCCCACCCTGCTCACCTGGTACCAGGAATAGGCCCGGTCCGCTGGGTTAATAAGGATGGTCAGTGAGTGACTGAGTGTCATACAGAGCCCCACACCCCCCATGCAGTGGCCCCACCCCCACCCTGCTCACCTGGTACCAGGAATAGGCCCGGTCCGCTGGGTTAATAAGGATGGTCAGGATCTTGGCCTTGGGCAACAGGGCAGCTGCCCGCCGGGGAGCCACCTCTGAATCAAAGTAGTTGGCGCTTTTCTCAAAGTAGAAGTCGGAGGTGGTGTTGGAGGGGATAGGGAAGAACTCCATGTACCTGCAGGAAGCCCAGAGAGGGGGCTCACAGGGGACTCACGAGAGGGGGGTCTGAGGAACACAGCAAGAGGGGTGAGGGCTGCTGTGGGTAGCTCTAGGGGGCGAGCAGGGGGCTCAGGGCAGCTTCGCCTGACCAGGGAGGGCCAGCACAGAGGGGAGGGATGCCCTCCTCTGCTTCCAGAGGGAGGGTTTCTTTCCTGCCCTGGGATGGCATTTTTGAGGCTGTCACTGTGAACCTGGGTGGGGGGTAGGGTCACCTCCTACACTCATCCCTCTCCCCAACCTGCCATGAGTAAGCACAGCTTTCCAGACTAACATCCCATATCCCACCCAGACCAATAACTACCTCTGGATTAAGGATCCCTCAGAAAAGTAAATGAATACTCCAGATCCTCCCAGGGGCATCTACTCATGAAAAATCGGGGTACAACTTTGGGAGTTCATGGGAGGCGGAACCCACACTGATTAAGGGTATAGGATCCCTGCTCTATCCTGTGAAACAGGATGTCTCCAGGGTGGTCCCAAGGACCCCCTTAATCAGAATCACCCGAGGGATTGTTAGATTCCTGCTCCTCACCTTAGACCCACCTACAAAACCAAAATCTTGGGAATGGGGCCAAGGAATCACACTCTTTCTCATCTTTCTGAATTTTCTTTGTATGTCCACAATCCTTTGCTTATAATCTCTAAATTGAGAAAGCCCTGAAAACAGAAGCTTTGTTTCCTAAGTTTGTAGCAAAGCCATTTGGCAGCAAAACCTGACTTATTAATCATCCTTAGTGTAAATATTCACACACTTTGTACAGACGTGTCAATGTATTTGCTAGTGGGATGCTGCCCCAGGTCCTATGTTGCTCAGTGCACAGTTTCGCACCATATTACCTTCCTCAAATCCAAAAACTGCTGACTTCCAATAATACATCTGGCCATGGTGGGTTTTAGATAAGAGATGTGGACATGTTAGAGATATGGAGAAATGGGCCGGCCCGGTGGCACACTGCTACAGTGCGCCGCTTGAGAGCACGGCGGCGCTCCCGCTAAAATCCAAAAACTGCTGACTTCCAATAATACATCTGGTCATTGTGGGTTTTAGATAAGAGATGTGGACATGTTAGAGATATGGAGAAATGGGCCGGCCTGGTGGCGCACTGCTACAGTGCGCCGCTTGAGAGCACGGCGGCGCTCCCGCCGAGGGGTCGGATCCCACATACAGACCAGCCATTCTCTGGCTGAGCGAGGTGCGGGAGCAACACCGAGGGTTGCGATCCCGTTGCCGGTCCCGGTCCGGTCAGGGCGCGACACTGAGGGTTGCGATCCGTTGCCGGTCACGAAAAAAAGACAAAAAAAAGGAAAAGAGATATGGAGAAACGGATGGACAGGTGAATGGATAGACGGATACACAGGAAGACAGATGGACAGAGAGTCAATAGATAAAAGAGAGAAATGCACACAGAAAAATACCAAAAACAAAGAAATAGAAAGCCCATAGTCTCTCCACCCAGGTATTCCATTGACATAAAAGTAATAAATAATGGTAACACTTATACAAAACGTAAAAAAGGCAAACAGTAGAGAAAGATGCAAATTGAAAAACTGGAGGGTAAAACCATCACAGCTCCGGCCCTCACACCCTCGAGGCAACTCTGTCTAGATTTGGGTAGGAAGCTGCGACTGCACCCACCTCCCCAGGTGACACCCCAAAGCACCCTTGAGGCTGAAGAACACCTTCAGCTCCACAGTCAGCCAAACAGTGGGAAGGGCCAGCTCTCAGGTCAGAACATTTGGATTTCAGCCCCTGCTCTGTCCCCAGCAGACCTGGGGGTCTTAGGGGACCCCTCTCTTCCTCTAGGACTCAGGATGCTTTTGTGCAAGCAAGGGAGGGGCTGGACTCTGACTTCAGCAGTCTCTGACCCCAGGCGATAATGCAATGGGGCAAAGGGCTTCCTCATCCAGGGTCCTGTCTGTGACAACACTCTCACACCATGACTCAAGGGTCACCACGCTTGTCTGTTTACAGGAACTTTAGCTGCGTGTGAGCAAGCTCCAGCTGCTTCCTGCTGTGGCCACAGCAGACCTCCTGGGCAGCTCCATGATGGCCTTCCCATCCTGCTGTGGACAGAAAGGCCCACTCACCAGTCAATGCCTTTGTGATAATTGTGGCCGTTAAAAAACTGGATCTCCTCAAAGGTCTCTGAGCTGGGGTAGTTGCTGCTTAGGTCCGGGTGCATGCCCAGGAACAGGTAGAGGGCTGTGGTGCCTGTGGGGAAAGGAGGCAGCTGAGACCCAGGGCCCAGCCCCCAACAAAAACATGGAGTCGGGTTCTGGGCCTAGCTCTCCATTACCTACTGGAAGATGCTGAGAAAATCACTTCCTTTTTCTGGGTCTTAGTTTCCGCATCTGTACAATGAAGGAATTATACTAAATCTAGGATGGCAAATATATGGCATGCATGTGGACACCCCATCTCCTGTACCCACTGCAGACATCACTAATCCATCACAGCACCTGCATCACTAAACAAGGAGTTGGCCTCTGAATCCTTCCCACCACTGCACTCCAGCAGCCATGTCCAATTGGTTACTATCTCATCAGAATCCTAGAACTAGATGGTTTGTGCTGATCCTTTCCAGCTCTGGGCCTCCGTCCTCTCTGGCACTTGGTAGAAGCTCAGGGGATAGGATGCTCCCAACCTTCCAACTCTGTTTAATGTGAAATTCTGGAAGAGCCAAGAAGTCCAGCTCCTGGGTTTCCTCTGCCGGGTGCCCTCCCCTCACTCATGCTCCCTCTTCTCCCTCCTCCTCAGGAGTTCAGTTCATTCATTCATTCCCTGTGGTGTGAGTCCACGGATTTCACGCTATAATGAGAGGACTCAGAAGAGGAGGCTGTAGAGTTTGGCAAATAAGAGTATAAGCTTTGGGGTCCCAGAGACCAGGGTTCAAGACCTGGAACTGCCATTTCCTAACTGAATGTGTTAAGGGAAGTTAGTTAAATTCTCTGAGCCTCGAGTCTGTTGTAAAATGGGAGTGCCTGTTTGTGCCTCACAGGGTCCTGGGTAGCAGATGCTTAGCAACCACCTCACCACTCCTCCCTCCTGCACCCCTAGCAGGCAGGACTAACTGACCGCAGTCCTCTCTGCACTGAACCCATTTTGCCTGGAACTGCTCAAACTTGCAGAGCAGCTGATCCGGGCTTCTCTGCCTAGACTCAGAGACTCAGGACACAGAGAAAGCTCCCTGAGGTTGAGGTTTGTGACAAACAGGAGAATTCCATGCCCACCATCCAACACCCTTCCCACCTCCATACCGACAGGCCACTCACGTTCACCTCAACATCACTCTCACTGCCTGGGAAAGAGGGGGCAGGTTATTGGGGAGTGGGACCAGGGCCAGGCAGTTCCCAGAATTCTGTAGCTGAGACAGCAGGCAGTGGGAGAAGCTGGGCCAAGAGTGGAGAGACCTGCCTGTTTTCTGGGGGCCGATGATAAGGAGCTTGGGGAAGCGGTCACACGTCTTCTCCTTGGACCAGATGTCTTTGTGGCGTTTGTCCTCACAGGGGTCCTAAAGCAACAGTGGAAGGGGTGTGAGGGGTGTCCAAGCACCTAGTGAACTGTCTCCCACTGCACATGGACATGTGGCTCCTACAGCCCTGACTGACAAGCATAATACCTCCATGTGTCTCTGTCACATCCCCACCCCCAGACACTGGCTGCTGACAAGCAGGGACCATTTCTGGTTAGTCTCATGTCCCCCAAAGAGCCTAGAAAAATGTTCAGTCTGTGCTTAGCACATCATAGGAACTCATGAGCACTCGTTGAATTTAACTGGACAAGCTGTGTCTGAACCAGGGGTCATCAAACTTTAAAGTTTAGTAAATATTCTAGAAAATGTTTAACAAATATTTTAGGCTTTGAGTACTATCCAGTTTCTATTGCACCACTCAACTCTGCTTGCTGGTGTAGCATGAAAGCAGCCATAGACAGTACATACAAGCATGAATGTGGCTATGTTCCGATAAAACTTAATTTACAAAAACAGACCACAGGCTGGATATGGCCCATGAGTCATGGTTTGTAGAACCCTGGTTTGAACTAGACTGCCACCAATTCCCAATTCTGCTTCCAGGTTTTAAAAGCACTCAGAGGCAGACTTTCCCAAGTATTGTCCCCTAAACCTCCCATCAGTCCTCTTCCCAATGGCTCAGAGCCTGCTGGTGGTAGAAGGAGCAGAAGAGATGATCTAAGAGTCTAACCGAGGCAGGACAGTCACTTTCTACATTCCATTTACACCATGTTCACTCTTAGCTTCTTAACACTGTTTCCTCCAAGGCTGTGTATGAGTGTGCATTCATGTAGGTCTGTGTGGGGAGGTGTGTCCATGTATGTACCTAGGCACATACGTGTGCAGAAGAGCAAATGGGCACCTGACTTTACATTTGAGAGTATGAGGGCATGAGGGCCAAGCCTGAGCCATGTGTGGAGTGCATGCCTATGAGCAGGGGGGCGCTCCGTCCCTGCAGCAAGGCACCAGGCTGCCCTGCCCCCACCTGCCAGAGTGGATCCTTCTCCTCGGAGAAGATCTGGAAGTACTTCTGGGCCAGCTGTACAGGAGGCAGCGTCTGCAGCCGGAGGTTGGTCCATGAGTGCAGGAAGCGCACCAAGTGCTTGAAGGTATACAGGCCCAGGCGGTCATTCCCATAGTTGGACAGGTGCGTCATGAAGATGCTGATCTGCTCCGGGGAGGGGAGGAGGGAGGCAGAGGCTGGGTCAGCATTGGAGCCACCCTCACCCCCACCCCTGACCTGGCTGGTCCTGCCTCAGCTTGCAGGGCTGCCTGATGGCCAGTGCAAGGTCCAATAGGGCTGTCAACAAACTCACTGTGTGACCTTAGGCTAGGCAAAGCCGGGTGCAAACCCACATCTGACTGACCCCCCAGATACATATTACAACCCCAGAATGGGAAGAGGACCTGTGTGGGAGCTATCTGTGTTTTGTGTTGCAAATTTGGCAGGGGAGGATGTGCATGGAAGATAAGGAGTACGCAGCCCATAAAGCAGAATAACAATCACTTGATATTTATTTAATATTATCAAAGTATGGATGGTTATTTACATTTTACAGATAAGAGAACCAGGAAGCTCAAATGAAGAGTAAAATGTGTGTGTGTGCGCACATGTGTCTATGTATACACACATGTGCATATACACACACGCAAGCTAAGACTGGAAAAAGAACATGCACAAAAATGCCAGCACTTTTGTTGTGCAGATCATGAAAGCGCATGATCATGAAAGAAGAAAAAAGAAAGGTCAGATTCTTTAGCCAAGGTCATGCAGCAGAGGAAGGACAAAGCCAGGGCAGGCGAGTGGGTCTCTCAATTCCCAGGCCCTCACTCCCCCCCTACGCCCAATCCCAGCGCCAAGAGGCCTGCGTCGGCTGCAGGCTGTGGAGCACTCACAGGATTGAGGAGCACGGTGAGGAAGAGCTCGCCCCCATTGATGATCTTGTCCAGCTCGCTGGAACCACCAGGGTACTCGTTGTAGAAGATGGTGTGTGTGAAAAGGCCACAGGTCTGCCGCGGGAGGACCTGGGATGGGCAGGGGAGAGGGGCTATGGTGTCTCTAGGTGTCTCTTCAGAAAGGCAGCCTCCTGTATGGGCTACACAGCCCCCACCCTTGGGGTCCTCGCTCCCAAAGACTCGCACAGCCTGCGACACTCTCCCATGTGAGCCGGAGGCTTGTCGTTTCACATGCATCACTGCTATTCCCTGCACAGACGAGCAGGCCCACAAGTAACAGAGGAAGAATGTTTCTGGAAATGGCGGCTGTCTGCAGCTCTATAGTAGCTCTCCCAGTCACACCCTGCAAGCCCTGTCGCGACACTCCAACCTGGTAGCACTTGTGGTCATGCACTGGCTTGGCTATTTATTGTCTGTCTCCCCTCATGAAACTGTGGCTTCCGAGTAAGTAGGGAATGTACCAGTCTTGCCACCTCATTCCCGGAGTTAATGTGAGTGCCTGGTACTGAGGAGGTCAGTGGGTGGACAGATGGACGGATGGACAGATGGATGGAAGGACAGACAGATGACTGCACAAACCTGGCCTTCCCACAGCTGCCCCATCTCATCCTTACAGTGCCTCATGAGTGCCTGGTACTGAGGAGGTCAGTGGGTAGACAGATGGACGGATGGACAGATGGATGGAAGGACAAACAGATGACTGCACAAACCTGGCCTTCCCACAGCTGCCCCATCTCATCCTTACAGTGCCTCAAGCCAAAAACCTTAGAGTCATCCTGTACCCCTCTCTGTCTCCCATACCCGACATCCAACTCATCAGCAGATCCTGTTGGTTCTGATTTCCAATAGGCCCAGAACATGAACACACCCCAATACCGCACCCTGGTCCAAGTCACCATGTCTCCCATCTGGAAGACTGCAGTGGCTCCCTAACTGCTCTCCCTTCCTCTACTTTCATCCCCTCCAGTCTGCTCCACACCACAGCCAGAATGATGGAAATCATTTTAAAATATAAGTCAGATCATGCTCCATTCAAAATCTTTCCATCGTAGGCTAAAAGCTAAAGCCCATTTAATGGCCCCTTACATGGCCCTATGTGAACCCTGACCTCATCCACCGCCTGCCCTTCATTCACTCCCCTCCCCCTCATTCACTCCCCTCCAGCCACACAGGCCTCTTAGTTGGTCCTCAGACACATCCAGCACCAACCTGCCTCAGGGCCTTTGCACATGCTGCTTTCTCTGCTTTGAATGCTCTTCCTCATACAGCAGCATGGCTCATTTGCAGGTTGGCCCTAAGTAACCACTTTATTTAAAATAGCTTCTCTTCTAACACCAAGGTCAAGGGTTTGGATCCCTGTACTGGCCAGCCAACAAAAACAAATAAATAAAATAAAATAGCTTCTCTTCCCCCAGCACTCCCTATCTCCCTTCCCTGCTTGATTTATCTCCACAGCACTTATCACTGTCTGACCATTATACACTTTACACACTCATGAGTATATTGTCTGTCTCCTGCCATTAGAATGTCTAATCTACAAGGGTAGGAATTCTGTTTGGTTTTGTGCACTTGGTTTGGGCATTTCTGTGTCCCCAGTGCCTAGAAAAGTTACAGACACACAGTAGAAGCTCAAGAAAAATGTTTAAATGAGCAGACGAATGAATGTTAACAGAGGCCTGTCCTGCGTCCTCCTCAGAACCCCCTTTAAAGAATGCTCACTCCTTGATCCTCTGTCACAAAAGCTAAGGAGTCATGAAAGGGGCCAGAATGGCAGCCCACCTCCCCTGGGATAGAGAGCTCAGAGGCCAGAAGTGGGGCAGGGACCAGGCTGACACGGCTAAGCCCGCTTCCCAAAGCCATGCTTCCCAGGACAGCACATGCACACACAGCTGTGTCTTCAGTTTTCTCAACCCCCCACCCCTGCTGCCAGGGGCCCACCATGATGCCATTGTGGATAAAGCCACGGCGATAGCGGGCCGGCTTCAGGTGCGGGTACTCCTCTGTGCTGGTCACGCGGATGCTCCACACCTGCTTCCAGGCCTCGTACAGCTGCACATGCACAGGGTACACGCCGGAGTGGTGGGGCGCCACTGCATACCCCATGTCTGTGGGAATGCCGTGCTCCTGGGGAGAGGACAAGCAGAGCAGGATGAGCATGGGGCCCGCCCCCTGGAGGCTTTGTAGACGGGAGAGAGAAATCAGAGGCTGGACCCGCAGGGCAGTTGGCCCAAGCCCTCCTAGGACAGATAGGGAAGCTGAGGCCTGGAGGGAAAGGGACATGCCCAGAATGTCAAAATGAGTGACTGCCAGAGCTGATCTAGAAGCCAGGTCTCATGACCTTTGATCCAGGGCATGTGCCCTCCAGCACAGAGCACTCAAGCACCCCACAGTCAGTGAAAGGGTCAGGGACTTTTCCCACCTTCTCCTGCCTCTGACTGGCTGGTAGGCCCCAGCTTACTAAGCCCCTCGCCCAGCTTCCAGTGCTCTTGCCCTAGCCTGAAGGCAGAGACTGGGCTCAGGAAACAAACAGGCCTGGGTTTAAATCCTGGTGTGACCTCCCTGAGCCTCAGTTTCTGGTCTGTAAAATGGGGCTATTCTCTCAAGGCTTCAAGGAGACAGTGGCTATAAAGGAAACTTATCCCAGGCCCTGGCACAGAGATTTTAGTAAAAATCTGTCAGACCCCACTGCAGAAGGCGCGCGAGGCCCGCAGACCAGACCCCCAGCCCAGCCCCTACCCCGCCCGGCTCTGCCCGTAGGGAATCTTACTCACGACAGCGAACTTCTTGTTCAGGGCCATCTGCTCGGCCAGCACAGACTGGTTGTGGAAAAGGTGGGGCTGCATGTGGCTCCACATGTGTGGGAACCACCAGAACTCCTTCACGTATGATAGCAGCAGATCGTCCCCAGCATCCTCAGCATCAGTACCTGCAGCCAGGCACAGGCAGCTCAGCCCAGCCCACCAGGCCACAAGTCTCTCCAACCTGGGCCTGTGCCTGGGGGTGGGAGCCCACGGCCAAGGCCCACCCAGGAGCTGCTGGAAAAAGTTTTCTGAGCTATAGCATGAGAGCAGACAAAGCCCCAATCCAGAGCCCTGGACTCAGGTCCAGAGTGTGTCCTTGACTCAATGAGTGACTTTAGCCAAGATCTTCTCCTCTTTGGGCCCTTGGGCCCCAGCTGTGCAACTCAGGGTTCAAAGTCAATGATCTCAAGGGTTTCTTCCACCTCGGACATGCTTGCTCTGATCTTATGATGATCCAAATTGGGTCATTTGCCTTTTACCTACCGATTTGCGGAAGCTCTTTGTATATATATATATAGGATGTCTCATATGTATTCCTACAACCACCTCTGATATGCTAAGGGTTAAGAATTCAAAACATGGGCCGGCCCGGTGGCGTACTGGATAGTGCGCCGCTTGGGAAGCGCGGCGGCGCTCCCGCCCGAGGGTTCGGATCCCACATACAGACCGGTTCCCGCTCACTGGCTGAGCGAGGCGCGGGAGCAACACCGAGGGTTGCAATCCCGTTGCCGGTCCCGGTCCAGTACGGGGGCGACACTGAGGGTTGCAATCCGTTGCCGGACACGGAAAAAGACAAAAAAAAAAAAAAAGAATTCAAAACATGCAGAGACAACCCAGTGTGACTCCGACCTAGCTTTGGGGCTATGTTGCACATTTCCCCTCATTCCAAATTGTTGACAAATACAGTTTTGTGTAGAATTCAAGAGAGGCTGTCCTCACTGTGGCCTGAGCAGAAGGCAGCTCAGGGGTTGCAGATTACCAGCTCGGGGGCTATTCCCTCTTTTCCAGTCCCTGAGGGACAGCATGTGAGGAACTTGAGAGAGCCCAAAATAGGAAGGAAGGCGTGACCAAGCAACCTATGGCCTCAGCTTCAACCCCTTCAACTCCAAACTAATCTCAGGACATTGGTCATCCTAGGGTGGGTACACTGACAGGGCATTTTAACTTTCTATGCTATATATTTCCATAGTGCTCCCCTAAAAGATGAGCGAAACTGAGGATCAAAAAGTTAAAGTAACTTGTCCCCTGTCACATTAGCAGCAGAAATGGTTCTAGCATCTGAGTCTCCTCTCAGTCCAGTGCTCAATCCCCAGCACTTCTGAACAATGCAGCTTGTCTACAGGCTCTTTGTCATCCAGGATGCCCCATGAGGCTGCCCTGGGATAGGCCTCTGCTATATCTGGAAAGGCTTCGATTTATAACCCAATTGAAACAATCGTGTGTGCGTGCGTGTGTGTGTGTGTGTGTGTGTGTGTGTGTGTCCCTGTGCACACAAACATCCCTCGCCCTGCCCTGCCCGCCCCACCCAGGACAGCACAGTCTGAAAGGCCAGGGAGGGACAAGTGGAAACCCTTGCTGCTGCTGTCCCCAAATGGCCTCTGGCTGGGGGCTGTGACTGCTCTTATATGCTGGTGGCTCTGGGGGCCAAGAGGGGTCAAATTTGCCCCCAATATGGGCCACTAAGCCCACCTGCTGCCCTCGTGGCACAGTGCTCTGAGGGTTTGGGTGTCGAGAAGCCCCCATAAGTTGCTAGTGAGGACAGAGGCAGGCCCACGTACCTGTGTGGAAGAATTTCCCTGAGTAGCCCAGGTTGAAGGTGAAGTTTGGGATGTGTGTGCGTAGTTCCTTCTGCGTATCAAACAGGGCCTGGGATAGGCAGTGGAGAAAGCAAGGAGTGAGGGGAAGCCAGGGCTCCCTGTTCCTCCCACTGAGGGCCCAAGAAGAGTCCTGCTACTGCAAGACCGGCTGCAAAGTTTGTGGGGCCCAGTGAAAAATAAGAATGTGGTTCCAAAATTATGAAGAATGTCAAAAAGGCAACAGCAGGGCATGAAAGCACGTGTGGGCCCCTCCTGAGCTTGGGGCTCATGCGGCTGCACAGGCCACGCACCGTGAAGGCAGCCCTGTGCCATCTCCTCCCCCAGGCCTCTGGCAAGAGAAGACCGAGGCTCCAGCCTGGCTCCACTGTGTGTCCTGGAGAAAGCCTCATGACTTCTCTAGGCCTTGCTTTTAACTGTAAAATGGAGACGATAATTTCTCCCTCACAGGGCTCTTGGAATCAAGTGAGATACTGCACATAAAACTGCCTAACATTTAGAAAGTGATGAAAAATGGTGGCCGTTGTTATGTCTGTGGTCTCTGACACCCTGAGCCTCAGTGTCTTCATCTGTCAACCGTGGAGGGTTTCTCCTCATTGGTGGAATGCAAGGCTGGTGTCAAAGGACCTTGACATTTTTAAGGATATACTGTGTGCCCAGCAATGTGATGTTCCCATGCATGGCACACCCAGTGCTTTGCAAGTTAATGAGGGGATGTTGACACTTGTGAAACAAATGTACAGTTGTACTCTGGGGTTAGGACTGCATGATTCACCAGGCTGCTAAGAAACCTGCAAGAGCCTGCTATCGGAACACTGCAAACTAAAAGTCCTGGCTCTGCCCAGTGCAGTGTTGTCACACCGACATCCTACCCAGGCCGTGCACTACCTGGTGGACACTCCTGCCCCACCTCTAAGCCTCAGCACCCTCCTCTGTAAATTGGGACTCAACAATGTCCACCTCACAGGGCTGCTGTGAGGGTCAAATAAGGCGACACTAGGAAAGGGCTACACACAGAGCTTGGTGCTTACAGAGCCCTGAACAAGCAGCTGCTGTTGGTATTATTTAAATTGTGCTGCACAGCCAGTACTGCACGTTAATGAGGTGACATTCATGTCTCTGAGAGAAGGGCTCAGTTATAGCCTGTGCTTGAATTAAAGAAGAAAATTCTCTGCCCTTTCTGACTCACAAAGATGTTTAAGGCAAAAGAGACCCTGGCTGGAGCAGCACTCAGCAGCCTGCACTGAGCTAAACACACACAAGGGGGCGCTTCGAAAGAAATGGCTCCAAACTGCTAGCGTTCCCCTCATTTTAAAAATGGGGAAAATAAGAAGCCAAAGAGGGCCAACCAGGGTTTGTGGGGGGCCCAGTTAGCCCTGCAGCCTGATTTCCTCCTGGGGCCAACCAGGACGTAGGTTACATACAGCAGGAGAGACAAGGCTGGGCCACTGGAAAAACAGCCTAGGTAGAATGCCCTGTCTCACTGAGGCAGGGAGCCTGGAGGCTGAGTCTGGCTGGTCTGAACATACCTTTACCAGGCCCAGCTATCCAGGCACCTCTGTGAAACCCCTGGGCACCAGGAAATAGCCTGGAAACCTCTCACCCTCCTCATCTCGTCATTTTGCAGCTGAGGCTCATAGATGGGAAGGGACTTCCAAGTCACCCAGTCAATGAGGGCCCCCCTGGGACTGGACTCAAATGAAGTGTCAGCTCCCCAGACAGTGCCTGCTCCCCAACACCATCTGCTCTGCTCGTCTCTCTGGAGATGTCAGGAAGAGCAGAGTTCACTCCTGACCAAGGCATGGGGATGAAATCCACCAGGACCTTCCTTCCAGCCAACCCCTACCAGGGATTTCAGGTGGACAGAGGACACAGCACCAACAAGCCTGAGTCATTGGGGGAGAAAAGTATTCCTCTTAGAAGTCTCTTTTTAAAGCCTCCTACTAACATCAAAGAGAAGTCTTGGTTTGATGCTAATATGTTACTAACACTTGCTAATCTGCTTTAAAAGAGGACAGGCCGTCAGCAGGCAGCAGTCTCTCTCTAGAATTTAATCCTCCTGTTTTGTTTTCATTGGATTTATTGTTATGGTTGCTCTCTGTCTATGGCAACTGATACTGATTTCTCCTTTACACTAGGATGCTGTCTCCTTTACAAATAACTTAAGGTAAAATAATAGAAGATGAAAACTGTATTTTAAAGATAGCTTAATGATATTAATTCGTAGGCTTCTCTTTCACAGTGATAGTTCACATGTGTAAAATTTTATGGTTTGCAAAGTGCTTTTACGTACAGTTTTGTTTGGTAAAGACTTTTTTGCGGGGGCAGCTGGCCGAGACAGGGATCAAACCCTCGACCTTGGTGTTGTCAGCACCACGCTGTAACCAACTGAGCTAACAGGCCAGCCTCCAAGGTAAACACTTTTTGAATTAGACAAAGGCATTCCACTCAGTTAAAATATGCTTTATGTATGACTCAAGCTCTCACTCTTGTTTTAAAAGTTTGGTAGGAGCTCTGATATTGACATAAACATTGTTAAGAGTTAAGCATCATACCTGGATTAAAAGGTGGATAGCTGGCCAGTTACCTCACTGGGGTAGAGCATGGTGCTAACACCAACAAGGTCAAGGGTTCAGATCTCTGAACCAGCCAGCCACACAAAACATACCTGGATTAAAAGGTGGATAGCTGGCCAGTTACCTCACTGGGGTAGGGCATGGTGCTAACACCAACAAGGTCAAGGGTTCAGATCTCTGAACCAGCCAGCCACACAAAAAAGAAAGAAAAGGTGGATAAACAATGCTGCAGAGCTCCCATCTTTGTATTTTAGTAACTAGGTCTTTTCCTTCACAGATGCACATTTAAACTCCACACCCCAGATGCAAAATTCCTCTAGATCTGATATTTCAGTAAAATTTTAAATAACACTTGCTTCCTATAAGACAATAAATAAAGACCAACTGGTGGAGGTGGGGAGGGCTCTGTACTTTAAATAATTAACAGCACAGGGGAGATGCAGATGATGAAGTGCACAAAGGTTTGCAGTTTGTGAGGCCCCGCCTTACGCAGTCCGGGACTCCAGCCGTACCTTCACGTCCTCCACCTTCATGCGTGTGCCCTCCTTGCCCACAAAGATGTCATCGATGTCCACCAGGATGTAGCGGTCCAAAGGCAACGAGAGACGCTTTCCCGTGAGGAAGGCCACAGCGTCCACGAAGACAAGCTTGTGCAGCCAGAAGTTGAGGTTGTTGCCAAAGAGCACACGCTGGATGCCGTCATGGAGGCCCAGGTCCTGGACCACGGTGGCATGCAACACGGCATGCAGGCCAGCGTCTGCACCCAGGTGTGGGATGGACTCAGACGAGCGTGTCTTGGCCAGCAGCACCGGCTCGTAGGTGGAGTGGTTTGACTGGAACACGGTCCAGTCCTCACCAGGCAGCACGCCCTTCTCTACCTCACTCGGCCGCGTCACATACAGCAGTGGGGACTTGGGGTTGATGCTGCAGTCCTTCAGGCCCAGGTTCGAGTGCAGGAATAGGGGGAAGCCCTTGAGCTGTGCGCTCAGCAGGCTGTTCTCGTTGGCCTGCAGCCGGGTAGGGCAGGAGGGGGAACAGAGCCATCAGACCCAAAACCCAAGGGATACAGACTCAGTTGTGGATGGATAACAGTAGTGTCAGTGATATTCACCAGCATTCCTGGAGGGCACACCATATCCCCAGCCCTGTGCTCCACCCTCCTACCCCCACAATAATATACTGGCAAACATATATGACTCACTTATCTAAGTCAGGCACTGGGTTCCGTGCACTTTGCTCGAAGGAATGCTGTTAATCCTCCCAGTGCCCCATGGCAGAGGTGTTGCTACCATACCCATTTTACGGATGAGGAAGCTGAGGCCTAGAGAGGCCAAATCACCCAGAGGAGAGTCTAGCAGTTGAGAGCATGAACACTGCCACCAGACTGCCTGGCCTTGGACAAGTTATGTCACCTCTCTGTGCCTCAGTTTCCTTTGCTGTAAACTGTGGCTAAGAACAATAAATACCTTCAGAGGCGGTGGAGGATGATCAGTGTTAACGCAGGCAAAGTGCTTAAACAGGGCCTGTGGCACGATCAATTGTTCATCCAGTGCTCACATCATCAGCCTTGTTTTCCCACTCCACAGATGAGGAAACTGAGGCTTGGAGGGGAGTGCTGCCCTCAGTCACACAGCAGTGGGAAGGAGCCATGACTTGCAGCTAGGATGTCTGGCCTGGAGCCTTCACACTTAACTACTAGGCTCCACCGCTGGGGTTTCCAAACTGGCTTTGGTCACACAACCCTTTCTTCAGGAGAAATCCTACATGGATGCCAACGCAGAAGATCAAAAAGGAGGTGTCTGCTGGGGTTGGGGAAGCAAAGACACCTCACCCTAAGCATTCCAGCCCCCTCGTGGACCTAGCACCCCTGTGGCCACCCCCTCACAGGAGTCCAGTTCCCATGCCTGTCCGGTCATGCTGGCTGTGGTGAGGTCTCTGCCTTCCTTCTCCTCCAGGGTCTGCTGCTGCCCAGCTCCCAGTGGGTCCACAGGCAGTGCTCACGGCCCCCCAGATCCTCTTCCCTAGGTTCGCAGTCCTGTTCCTTCATTCCTTCCCTCACCCTCACAGTCACCTGCCTCTGGATATGGTACAATTTGTCCTTGTTCCTGTGCCAGTTCCAGTCTGTCTTCTTGGCCTGGCAAACTTCTGATCGTCCTTCAAAACCCAATGCATATACCCTCTTCTCTGCACTGGCCTCCCTTGGACCATATTAAAGTCTCAGCTGCACACTTCTCACCTCAGCTGCTGCATTATCTGTTCATTCCACAACCATCCACTGTGCCAGGCACTGTATTAAGTGCCAGTGATACAGTGAGAAAAGAAAGAGATAGCCCCTGCCTTCATGAACCTTAAAGTCCATCAGGGAAGAGAGACATCCATCAAAACCCCAGGAATAAACAGAAAACTTCAGTGTGGCACATGGTACACAGAGGAGGTTCGTAGATGTAGAAGAGCAGAGTACTGGACACAGTCGATGGCTCAGGAGGCCTCCTGGAGAAGGGGACTTCTGAGCTAGCATTTAAAGAGTGAGTACACATCAACTAGGGGAGAGAAAGGGGCCAAGTCCACGAACAGCAAATGCAAAGGCCCTGGGGTAGGAGAGGGCTTGGCATGGTCAAGGAATAGCAAGACACCAGCAGAGTGATCAAGAGGGACAGTAGAAGATGGGGCCAAAAGGTCAGCTGGGACCAGACCTGCAGGACCCTGGAGGCTTGAGTGGCAGGAGGAAGCCATCAGACTCCATGAAAGGCTTCTGAAGACTGTATGACAGGTTCCAATTTGCATTTCTAAAAGATCCATGTGAGGGCCGGCCTGTGGCTCACTTGGGAGAGTGTGGTGCTGACAACACCAAGTCAAGGGTTAAGATCCCCTTACCAGTCATCTTTTAAAAAAAAATAAAAATAAAAGATCCATGAGGCTGCTGTATGGATGATGAGTGGGGTGGGGCAAAGCAAGAGTTGACAAAGATCACAGATAAAAATAAAAGATCCCTGAGGCTGCTGTATGGATGATGAGTGGGGTGGGGCAAAGCAAGAGTTGACAAAGATCACAGAATGTGTGGAGAGGGAGACAGGGTCATGTACAGGAGGACCCCATGGAGGGCTGCTCAGGTGATTTCTGTACAAGGACACACAGCTGAGCGGTGAGTTGGGGGTAAAATCTGAGCCAAGCCTTGTACCCCAATGTGGAGCTCTGCCTGTTCAGAAGGGTGCCTTTTACTAATCTCCTCCACACAGAAGTTCTTTATTCAAATGCCCACAAGGCTCTGTGGGGACCTGGCCTTGTAAACCATGATAAGGAGGCTGCATCTGATTTTCCAAATACCAGAAGTACCTGCCAACCCCCCAACTCACCCTGAGCCAGCATCAGGGATTGAGGCCCAATGCAGAGCCAGAGCCTCAGAGGCTGCCTCCCCCAACTCCAGGTTCCCCACAACCCCTAAGCCAGCACTGGCCAAGGACAAAACTGCTTGGGCTGCATGGGGGCCAGAGACGTTCAGGCCCTGTCGATCACCTGCTGAGGTCCAGGAAGCCACACTGGCCATGGGTGCTGAGGGACCCCATTTCAAAGTCCTGACCTTAAGCTAAGGGCCAGGTGCTGGTAGCTCAGCCATCGAAGAAGGGAGAAAGCCAAGTCACTGATGGTCTACCCCAGTCAGCAGAAAGGAACCAGCCAGGGAAGGGAACAGAGAGCCTGTGCACTGCAGAGGCTGGCCCCCAGTACAGGACTCCCCCCACGGAGTGGAAATCCCTCCTGCTCCTCAGCACTGAGGACCCACTGAGGAGTCACCAAATCTTCCAATGGGGTCACCCATGCAGAGGAAGAAAGAGCCCTGATCCAGGAGTGGGGAGGCAGAAGCCTAGCACAGCCTTAACCGTTCACTAGCTAGACAGCCTTGAGAGTCCCACATCTCTTCCCTGGCTTCAGGTCCCTCCTAGGTCAGTTTGCTCTTATATGGACTCCTATGTCTGAGTTAGAAGCAGTGAGCTTGGCCGTCAAATCTTGGCTCCATGACTTACTAGCTATGTCACTCTGAACAGGCCATTTAACTTTTTGAGCCTTGGGTCCTTACCTGAAGATAAAGTGCCTACTTCACAGGTTGGTTGTGATAATTAAACATGATAATGTCTGAAAAGCAATGAGCTCAGTGGCTGGCACACAGTAAGTGCTCAACAGAGAGGTCAGGGACCTCTGCCACATCTCTGCAAGCACCTGGAGTTGTAAGGTTGAGGCATGACAGGGCCAGGATCTGGGGCTCCAGATGAGGACAACCCAATTCTCACCCTCAAGGAATTCACAGGGGCACACATCAGTCAGAGCTACAAGGGAGACAAAGTGCCACCACCTCTGTGATGTCTAGACTTGAAACGACAAAGCATGACAGTTGCCTTTTGCTGAGTGGCTGCAGGTGTCGGGCATGGCGCTTAGTGCTTCCCACTCATTGTCTTATCTTCAACACAGCCCAGGGAGGCAGGAATTGTAACTGGCCCCACTTTATAGATGGGTTTGAGTATCTTGCACAAGGTCACTCTGCTTCTGAGTGACAGAAGATTTTGAACCAGGGTCTGGACTTTGAGGCCTCTGCTTTCACACTGCTCTGGGAATCTAGTGCAATGGAAACTGGAAAATGAGGGTCTCCAGATCCCTGGAGTCCACAGATCCTCCTGGTTTGGCAAGCCCAATGCACAGCACTGAAGCAAGCTGGCCTTGCAGAAAAGAGCTGAAAGATGTACCTTGACTACCAGGGGGTGTGTATTCGAGTGGAAAATCACAGGCCTCTGCTGAAAACTAAGGAGAGGTCTTGTCTTATGCAATAGGGTAGGAAGAGCACAAAGACCTGGAATTGCCATTGACCCCACAGTGAGACTCTGAGCATGTCCCTGCCCCTTCCTGGACTTCATGTTCACCTTCTGTAGAGCAAGGAGATGGATCTAGATAGGGTCCAAGCTCCATTACACCAATTGTGCCCAATGACCCCAGCCTACTGCCTGGACTATGGGAGCTCTGTGCATTGGATGTGGCCTCTGATGCAACTTATGCTAAATAAATGGTATGTGAGGCTCCTGGTTGCATCAAACAGTGGTTAAGATGAAGGCTTCTGGAGCCAGACTGCCAGGGTTCAAATCCCAGATCTACGCTTATTAGAGGTATGGGCTTGGGCACAATTCTTACCTCCCTTTGCCTCAGTTTCCTTCTCTTAAATCAGGATGCTATTCCACCTGCCTTGGAGGGTGGTCTATTCGTGTGAAGTGAGTTAATTCATAGAAAGCATGTAGACAGTACATGGCACTGAGTGAGCACTCAATAAATGTCAGCCATCCTTACGTTTTTCAGGCCAGGGGCTCTGAATCAACTTAATGAAGTTCATGGAAGAAAGGAAACAGAGTCCAGGGGGAAAGAAAAAAAAAAAAAAAGACAATGGAGACAGTCTGACTTGATGCCACTGTAAAGCCATAAACCAGGCCAGCGTTCCCCAGAGGGTGCTCTATGAAAAAAAGGATTCTGTGATCAAACCAGTTGGGGAACGGATCTCACCAGGTTGCTTTACTGCAGGACTTCTAAGGGCTTTCGATTCTTGGCTCACAATACCTTTTTAGTGGCAGAGCCTCCTGCTGCATTAGTGTGTGAAAGAACATGCCGTGGGAAACCCTCAACTAGGCCAGCCCCGTCCCAGCATGGAGCACAGGGCCCAGTGCACAAGCACACTGGGAAGGCTTAGAAAGCATGGGCACCAGCGGTGGACATGGGCCCCTTCTGACCCATCTGCTGCTCCTCCTCTCCTCACTCATGCCAAGAAAGCTCTTACTGTCCCTCCTGCCTGGAAGGCTCTTCACACGGTGAGCCACATGGCTCCTTCCCCTGCTTCCTGCAGGCCACTTTATCAAAGATGATTTCCCTGGCCGTTCTATCAAAAATAGTGTCAACCTCCACACCCATTACCTCTATGACCTTTCCTTGCTTTGTCTCTCTTTGCATTTATCACTCCCTACCATATCCTATGTTTATTTGTTCATTGCCTGTCACCCACCCCGCTCCCACGGTGCTGAAATGTCAGTTCTATGAGAGTGGGATTTTGTCCATTTAGATCACCACTGTGTGTCCCCGGTGCCTAGTACAGACCTGGAACACTGCAAGCTTTCAGTAAATATTTGTTGAATGAAAGAACAAATGCCCATCTAGAGTGCCAGCTAATGCCTGCTTTCATCTTGCAGGTCAGAGTTCTCTGGTCCCAGCCTCTGGGTCCCCCTTCACTGTTCCCATCCTCCCCTCTCCAAGGACAAATTCTTCATGACACCCTTTCAGCAAGGACCCCAACCCCAGCAGTCATTCCAGAATCCCCATAAAGTCCAGAGCAGCTCCCCACCGGCCCACTGGGATTTCCTTCTCCTCTTTCTTGCAATGCAACAGGGTTTGGGAGATGCACATGCTCCACACCCACAGAGGGGTCGAGCAAGAAGAAAGATCATGGGATACAGAGCTCAAACTATCTATGTCTGGGTTCAAGTCTTGGCTTCCCTACTTATAGGCTGCATAGCCTACAACAAGTAACTTAATCCCCTTAAGCCTTGATTTGCTCATCTGCAAAATGGGGACACACCCCCTCCCTCGGGAGAACTGCTGTGGCAGGTTTCAGGGCACCCAGCAGAGCACGCCATCTCCTACCTTGCACCCATCCCCAGAACCTCCTTTAGGCAAGTGCCTGCTGTGTTGTGTGCTGGACCCCACGTATGGCAGGCAATTTCCTACCATGCACCCCTCACACTTATGAGCTAATAATCATAAAGCACTCACAAGGCACCAGGCACTGTGTACTCTGAGTACTTCACACGTACCCATTTAACCTTCACGACAATCTTGGGAGGTTGGTGCTACCATCACACCCATTTTACAGATGAGAAAAGTCAGGCACCCAGCTAGACAGTGTGCACATGGGGCTCTGAACTGCCCATGGACCCTGCTCCCTGCATACCTTGAAGAAGCCAATGATGCCCACGCCATAGGCCACACAGTACTTGTCCAGCAGCTCCCGGTTCCAGGCATCCAGGTTGACGTACTTGAGGATGTTCTCATAGATGATGAGGGCGAAGCGGCCTCGGCCCTTGTCGGTGAGCGTGGGCATATCACCTTTGCCCGGAGCAATCTCTGTGCGGTACTTGAAGCGGCTGGACTCCAGGATGGCCACCACCTCCTGGCCCAGCTGCGAGTAGAGGCTCTCCACGAACACCAGCACCAATGGGTCTGTGCGGGAAGGGGTGGCCACCTGCACAGGCTTGAGCGGCAGCAAGCGACTGGGGGCCACAGGCGGCGGGTCCCCACAGTCGGGCTCAGGGGCATCTGCCGAGGGCTCCAGGCCCCGCTTCCAGCCATATAGGTAGTATGCTGAGACGAAAACGCTGAACAGGCAGAAGACAAACAGCAGGAAAAGGATGGCCTGTGGGGACACATGCCGACACAGCCTCCGGAGGCACGCCAGGGCAGGCATCCTGGCCCCCGAGACCTTGGCTACCGGAGGCCCAGCCTGCCCTGGCCACCCCAAGGCCCCACACAGGAGAGACACAAGAGTCGTCAGCTGACGAATAAATCCACAGAGACTTAGGCAGCGGGGACAGAGGATCTCGGCCCCTGGCCCTTCCTCCCAGCCGGGGGCGCAGTCCGCAGGCTGGTCGCGCTCCTTCCTTCCTCCACGCCCTTTATGTCACCATGGCAAACCCCCGCGTGGTCCTGCGCAGAGCAGAAGTGCCCCAGGGCGTCAGGGCCTCCTGGGAGGGCTGGGCAGCAGACCAGAGGACAGGCAGGCCCGGGGGTGCTGCATGGCACTCACTCAGTGGGCCACCAGGCTAAAGCTGTGGAGAGAACAGGAGAGGCAGAGTGTGGGCTTCAGGGGGCAGTGACTGCGGACACATGGACCTGACCTAGGTGGGCCCGGGTTCAAGTACTCCTGCCCAACCTGGTTGCATGGTTTGGGGCAAGCTCTTTAATCTGAGCCTCAGTTTCCTCATTTGTGAAATGGGGCAGACAATAAATAGCAGCCATCTCACAAGGGGTTGGAGGATTAAGTCCCACAATGTACGTAAATCACTTCAGAACAGTACCCAGCTTATGGTACTATTGGTACAAATGGTACAAATGGTAGTTGCTATTTTTTATTATTATCACAGTCCAAGACTAGGCCAAGAAAAATCCAGAAGCAGGAAGGGTAAAGTTAGGCGATGGGGCTGGCCAGTGGCTCACTCGGGAGAGTGCGGTGCTGGTAACACCAAGGCCACAGGTTCGGATCCCATATAGGGATGGCTGGTTAGCTCACTGAGTGAGCGTGGTGCTGATAACACCAAGTCAAAGGTTAAGATCTCCTTACCGGTCATCTTTTAGAAAAAAATAAAAAAATAAAAAATAAAGTGAAGCGATGGCCTTTGCAAGGCCTGGGAGCTAAAGGTGGAATTCCAAATCATGAGACACCACATCCTCACCATCTCCCACACTCCCCTATCCATTTCTTTCTCTGAATGAGCCCAGCAGCTTCATCCAACACATGAAAAGACTAAGTCTCCAGCAAAAGCAGCCAAGCCAGGATTTAAACACACAGCTGAGGCCCTGTGCAAAAAAGGCCCCAGCTAGAGCACCCCACTCCTCTCAAGCTCATCTGTAAGATCATCACCTCTGTGGTGCAGGACTGTGGCTGAGAGTTAACTGAGCAAATGAGTCTGAGGAGCTCGACACAAGAAATGCCCAGAAATGGCAGCAGTCACTATTTGCCCCTAGTGCAACCAGGCCCCTCTCACCCTCAGGGCATGTGCCCACAGATGCACACAGCAGCCCAGGACAGCAGGTGACCACCCCTGCCTGAGGATTCCAAGCTTACCAAGGGACTGACAAGGAGGCTTCCCCCACACTGAGCCTTCTGTCCACCCAGGCAGCCAGCATTCCAGGTTCCAGCCTCCCCCAACAACCTGAACCCCAACACAGGCCATGCCACTTGCACCCATCTCACTAGAGTGAGTTAATGAAGACCCACATACATTGTGCAAAGGCCCCAATTCCCTCACCCCAAACAGCAACCCCAAACAGGGCCTTCCAGTCTCTCTTAAACATGAGTTGAAGCCACAGGAAGTGAGATTTCCCAGCAATCCACAGAGCAACTTTCTATCAGCGACAGTTGCTGAAAGCCAGCAGGAGAGCTCTCCACGACCAGAGCCAAAGGGGTGAGAGCCTGGGAGGGAATTCCGAAGCCTCAAGCCCAGCCTTGGTAGGGAAGATTTCTGAAATCCCTCCCAGCCCCAAGACTATATGGTGTGCTCAGCATGGGTACAGCATGCCAGAGACCCAAAGGTTGCACTTCTAGGAATTTATCCTAGAGGTAGTAATTGCAGAACTACATAAAGATTTTCCCTCAAAAATACGAATCCCGGGACGGCCCATAGCTCACTTGGGAGAGTGTGGTGCTGATAACACCAAGTCAAGGGTTAAGATCCCCTTACTGGTCATCTTTATATAGGGGAAAAAAAAAAAAAAAAAATACGAATCCCAGTGCTGTTTATAATAGCAAATGCCCAACAATAGGGGGATTGTCTTTAGAAATTATAATGCAAGCATGTGAGGGAATCCTAGGCAGCCATTTACAGTACGTCAAAGAAGAACATTTACTGACATAGAAATAAGATTACCATATATATTGTTAAAGTGGAAAACATTTATAAAACAGTTTGTATGTGTGGTCATACATATTTTTGTTAAACCTTTTGTTATACATAGGCTAGAAACTGGTGCTAAATTTAAAAAAAAAAGTTAACAGCGATTATCACTGGGTGGTTTTTATCTTCCACTTTTTATTTGTGAAATGAGGAAACAACAACAGGAACAGCAGGTCTGGTCCCAGCTCTGCCATGATGTGCTGTGTGACCCCGAGCAAATCCTATCCCTCTCTGGGCCTCCTTCCTGTTAGAGAGGGGCTTGGGCCAGATAATCTCTACTTCTGACACTCTACATTTTAGTCCCCCCTATGTGTCAGCACCCTGGGGAACCAGAGGCAGCCAAGAAAATCCAGAGGGGCAATGCAGGCAAATGAGTGTAGGCTTGGGAGAAGGGAAGGGTGTTTGGGAGAACTGAGGGGCACTTAACCACTGTGGAGGCGGAAGGAATCTGGGGAAGCCTTCCTGGAGGAAGTGGTACCTGAGCTGACCAGAACCAGAAGTAAGGGTTGGCCTGGGGTAGGAAGAGGGGATGGCACATGCCACAGCTTGGAGACAAGGGAGTGTGTGGCGCTTTCCAGGGACTCCCTACAATTCTAGCTGAAAGCAGGGCAAGAAGGGGCCAGTGTCATGGGCAGAGCAAGGAAGTCTGGGGTGACTGGTCAAGTTTGTGCCCAGGGTGCACCAGTGTCTCCCTACCTCTGATAAGAGCAGCCCTCTGTCTGTAACCACAGCAGAGCCCCACCCCTTGGCTCAGGGACAAGAGAGAAGCACAGGGGGTGGGGAGGTAGGGATACACTGACAGTGCCTGCCGAAGTCAGCCACCCAACCCCATGGAAGAGGAGGAGTGCAGCCACAGGCCACTCCTCGCAGGCCTGAGTTCTGTGGTCACTGACCCTCTGTCTGTCACATCAATGGCATTTCAGCATGTTAATGTTGCAGTCCACAGAGTTTCAGGCATCTGGGGGTCAGGGATGCCTGTGGAAATCTGACATTTTTCAGATATAAAAAATATGCACTTTAAAAAAATGCACTTCTTTGCCAGAGGTTAGGGGTGGAGCAGATGAATAGGCAGAGCACAGAGGATTCTTAGGGCAGGGCAACTGCTCTGTATACTATGGTGGTGGATCCGTGTCATTATACATTTGTCCAAACCCATGGAATGTACAGCACCAAGAGTGAACCCTCATGAAAACTATGGACCCTGGGTGATAATGATGTGTCAACGTAGGTTCACCAATTGTAACAAATGCACCACTCTCGTGGGGATGCTGACAGTGAGGGAGACTATGCATCTGCGGGCGCAGGGGGCATATAGGAAATCTCTGTACCTTCCTCTCCATTTTGCTGTCAATCTAAAACTGCTCTAAAAAATAAAGTCTCTTAAAAAAATAAATATGCACATATCCTGAAAAATGCTGTAACAATTTCAAGAAGTTCAGACCTTCATCTCCCAAGTCCATCCATGGACTTAAAGTCCTAAGTTAATAGAGCCTATATGTGCAGACTAGAGCCAGGTGGCTTCGGTTCAAACCCTACTTCTACCACCCAGTGGCTGTGTAATCTTGGGCAAGTCATTTAACTTCTCGGTATCTCAGTTTCCTAATCTGCAAAACAGGAAATTTTTACATACTTCCCAAGGTTGTGAAAATCAAATGAGTTGATAAATAAAACGCTCACAACCATGTCTGGCACACAGCCCTGAGTAACTGTCAGCTACTATTATCCTGCACTTCTGTAGCTTATTTAACATACTCACAAAAACCCCTCACAACATGGATAATGGCTTAGCTCACAGAGCGCTTTCTAGCTCATCTGTCTGGCTCAAGTCTCTGACAGCCCTAGGAATCAGACATGGAGAGCACGCTCACCTCCCAGAGGCACACAGCAAGGTACGAGGGAGGTCTGCCTGTTCCTCATTGTCTGCAGCTGTCCTCCCCAAACCACACCCTGGGAAGAGTCCCCATCTTTGGAAAAGCTCCCCATCTTCCCCAGGAGCTGGATGGATGGGCAGGGCCCAGAAAATTAGAAACCAGGAGTCCAGGGATAAGGCCATGGCAAAACCCAGGCCACGGAGAGGACAAAGTAGCCCCTGACCCCAAAGAAGGCCAATATCCTGGGGTTGGGGGAGAGCCAGTTGCTCTGAAAACAAAGCACTGACCACTCAGCTCGCTGGCAAGGGGGTTGCAGCACAGTTGGCTGCAACCTACTCCGCCATTCAAGGCCCTCCTCAGCAGCCTGCATTCCAGAGCCCCTGGGATCAAGGTGCAAATAACTGGGGGCTTCTAATCCCCCTGGAGCCACCAAGGCCTCAAGGACAGCTGGGGCTGAGGCCTCAATGCCCCTTTCACCCTAGGCCTTGCTGACATTACCAGTTGTTTCCCCTAAACTCCAGCCTCACCCAGCAGGTCACCAATCTCAGTCAAGCATCTAGGCCTTTGCTGATGAAGTTCCCATTGCCTGGAATGCATCCTCTGACCCCTTGGGACACTTACTCATCATTCAAGATCCCAGTTCTAATGTCATCACCTCTCTGAAGTCATCTCCAACCACCACCCCCTCTCCTGCCCTGAGTCCCAGTCCTTAGGCTCCCGCCCCGTCCCCACTCCACAGCATGGAGGCTGAAAACCAGTACCCTCAGTCCAGAACAAAAAACACATGTGTTCCTTGGCTTGCACAGCATTTTTCTTTAATTTGGGATTCCTTATCAACATTCTTAAATCAGGAAATTTCACATAAAAGTCAGAAGTTCTAATTTCTCTTTTAAAAAAGGTATGTTCAGGCTGGCCCATGGCTCACTTGGGAGAGTGTGGTGCTGATAACATCAAGGCCACGGGTTCAGATCCCTATATAGGGATGGCCGGTTAGCTCACTCGGGAGAGCCTGGTGCTGACAACACCAAGTCAAGGGTTAAGATCCCTTTACCGATCATCTTTAAAAAAGAAAAAAAGGCATGTTCTGGTGACACCGGGCACACATTCCCATCAGCCACCATCAGCTGACACACTTACAGTGCCCGCCTCAGATGGGCCATGTATTCTCCGCCTCTCTCTACAGTCTCACAGCCAAACTATCCCCGTCGTTGAACTTCCTGTCCAGCCCCTGGGTGCACCCAAGCGTGTGGTCTGTGCAGAGCAAACCTGGGCATTTCTACACAC